AAATATTTTTAGTCGTAGTTGGACACAATCCCTTTATTTATTTATTTTTATGTGGTGCCGAGGATCGAACCCAGGGCGTCACACATGCGAGGCCAGTACTTTACCACGGAGCCACAACCCCAGCCCTTTGGGGTTAAATGGTGTAAATGGCTATTTTACACTGTGCTTCCTTTCCTGTCCTTCGCTGGTGGTTTTATTGGTTCATAGAAGTCTCATTAGTTTCCTGTGACTATTGTAACAAGTTCCAGCAACTCAGGAGGCCTAAAACACARGAGCCCGATTGTCTACCAGTCTGAAGTCTCTGAAGTCAAGAAATCCAAGATCAGGGAGTCAGCAAGGTTGGGGTCCCTCCAAACCCTGGAGGGGAATCCTTCCCCGCCTCTTCYCAGTCCATGGTGATTGGCTGTCAATCTTCAGTATCCCTTGGCTTATAATTGCATCAGCCCCGTGGCGGCCTGCGTTGTCACAGGGCCACCTTCCTGTGCTTCTGTCTTCACATGGCCACCTTCTTACCAGGACACCAGTCATGTTGGATGAGGAGCCCACCCTGCTCCAGTATGACCTCAGCCTCATGAATCATCTGCAGCAAGCTTGTTTCCAAATAAGGTCCCTTCCTGAGGCATGGGAGTCAGGATGTCAGCTTATCCTTGGGGAGGAACACATCCATGCCCTGATAGAAGTTCCATATGTACTGGAGGCACCAGTCCGTGAGTTGCTGACACAAAGTCTGCTCGTGCAGCTGGGTGGTGCAGAGTGCTAGGGGCAAGGAAACTGTTCTCTGCACCCTCCACAAACTGTGTGCTTCTCTGAGTCCCTTCTTCTCCCTATATCATCCCTCCCCCCATGAAGCCAGAGAAAGGCAGGCCAAAGAGGTCTATTGAGGATGAGCTGAAGGAGGCTGGGGACGGAGAAAGAGTGGGAGGAAACTTCTAGCTCCTGGTCCTGTCCCAACCTCCAGGCCAGCAGCCTTTGGCACCGTGGTTATGAGCTTGGGCAGTAGAGCCAGCTTCCCGGGTTCGAATCCTCGCCCCCACACGCCCAGGCTAACCAGCTGCAGTGCTGGAGGGGACCCCAGGGCGCTCTCCACGGGCGACATCTCCAGCCCCTTTGGCTTTTTATTTTGAGACAGGGTCTTGCCAAGGTGCCCAGGCTGGCCTCATACTTGAGATCCTCCTGCCTCACCCTCCTGAGTCCCTATAGGCATGTGCCACCATGCCCAGYTGGCAAGCTAATTCAGGGTGACTGTGCCTCTTGTCTCAGTTTCCTGTGGCTGCTCTAACCAACTAGCATAAACGGAGTCGCATAAACTGTGGAACTTTAAAGGGAGTCTCAGCAAGGTGTCAGCAGGGTCCTGCTCCTACAAGAGGAGATGCCAGGGGGAGTGATTTTCTTGCTTTCCAGTGGCTCAGTCTTCCTGCTCCCCTTGGCTCTCGGCCCTCCACCCGTCCTCACAGCCCCAGTCAGCTTCCCTCTCGGACCCTGGCTTCCTTGGCTTCTGTGTCACCACCTTCTTCACGTCTGTCTATGGTCACAGTTCCTTGTCCTTGTACAGGGACACTTGTGATCCTATTGAGGATCCATCTGGATCAGCAGGATAATGTCCCCATCTTAAAATCCTTAATTTAGCCATGCATGGTGGCACATACCTGTAATCCTAGCGGTTCAGGAGGCTGAGGCAGGAGGATCGCAAGTTCAAAGCCAGCCTCAGCAACTTAGTGAGGCTCTAAGCAACTTAGTGAGACCCTGCCTCAAAATAAAAAAATAAAAAGGGCTGGGGATGTGGCTCTGGAGTTAAATGCCCCTGAGTTCCATCCCTGGTACACACATGCGCACGCGCGCGCACACACACACACACACACACGCACATCTTTGACTTAATCACTCTAGCAAAGATTCCCCCCCACACACACTTTTTTTCCCTATAAGGTGACATCAACATGTCTCAGAGTTTAGGACCTGGATATCTTTAGGGGGCATTATTCAGCCAACCACACCTCTCTGAGCCTCAGTTTCTTCATGTGTAAAATAGGACATGGTGAGGAATCACCAGGTAATACAGATAAAGTCCCTGGAAACCTACCCTACATCACATAAGCACTCAACAAAATTGAGTGAGGAAGAAACTCCCTTCTGAGCTGGGCACATAACCCCAGCACCTTGGGAGGCTGAGGCAGGAGGATCGCAAGGGACCAGCCTCAGCAATTTAGGGAGACCCTAAACAGCTTAGGGAGACCCCCATCTCAAAATAAATAAGAAARGAAGGAGGGAGGGAGGGGTGGGGCGGGCTCTGGGTGTGGCTTGGTGGTTAAGGGCCCCTGGGTTCAATCTCCAGTGCCCCCCAAAAGACTCCCCTCTGGATCTCTGCCTGGAAAATGGAAAGAGAAGGGTATTGGCCCCAAGGGTTTCCCAGCTCTTCCTCTCCCTGGGGAGGCCCTGGGTAGAGAGGGCCTCTGTGTYCAGGAGGTGGCCAGGTAGCCCTGCCCCTGCCATCCACGCCCCAAACCAGATAAGGGCCCTGTCTCCCCAGCAGCCAGGCGTCGGGTGGTGGTGGCGACATTCCTCAGGGCAGGGAAAGAGCGTCAGCGAGTCCCAGACACGGGCACATGCACACACGCACACACGCACACACACACACACACGCACACACACACACACACAGGGGCACAGACACAGACTCACAATGTCTCTGTCCCTCTGAGGGCCACTGGGTGTCACATTCTTACTCACGCCTGGTCCCTCCTCCCCACTCCATCTCCTTCTCCCCACTCCCTCTCTCTCTGTGCCTCTGACCCTTTGTCTGTCCCCCTTCTAGTCTGCTCCTATCTTTCTTGCTGTCTCTTGGTCTCTCCCTGGCTTTGTCTCTCCTGCTCTCTCACTGTCTCTGTCTCTGCACAAATTCCTCCTCCCCTTCGTCGGGGGAAGCCCCCGAAACCCAAGGGCCTCACTCACAGCCCCGGCAGGCACGAGCTGGGTGAGGCCCAGGTGAGTCACGGGGAGGAAGGAGCTGTCAGGGCCCTGACCGMTGCCTGTCCCTCCCTCCTTATGTCACCCGGAACCTTACAGGTGTGTGCTGGTGGAGGGAGAGGCAGAGAGAAGGAGTCCGAGAAAAGACGGACTCAGAAACAGAGAGACAGAGAGGGGAGAAGCAGAGACAGAGAGAGAGACAGAAAGAGAGAACCTGAGGGAGCCAGAGAGAGCAAGAGAGAGGGTCAGAAACAAAGGAAAGAGGAAACAGAGAGACACAGGGCGGGGAGGGGCCAGAGCTAGTGAGGTGGGGTGAGCTCCAGGTGAACTCCCTCACCCTTAAATAAAAAAGGAAAGACCGGCTTTGAGCCACGAGGTCACCCACCAGGTGACCACAGCCCACCTACAGCTCTGAGGGTCCTCACGCCTGAGTTTTCTTTTCTCTGGGAGATGTCGGCCTCCCACCTGCCCCAGACCCATTTTACAGGTGGGAAAACTGAGGATCCATGGAGAAAAGCATCTTCCTGAGATCCTCTGGAGCACGGGGCTGAGCTGGACCTCAAACCTGCCTAGACCAGCACCCCCGCTTTCTATTTCCCCACCTCATTCACATCAACGTCTTGTTCAGACTTCACGCCAACCCCAAGAGGTGCCCYGTTTTCCAGATGAGGAAACAGGCTCAGAATAGAGGACCGTGTTGGCTCAGGGTGACCTACCCAGGGTGAGCTTCACTGAAACTGTCAGAGTCTGGGGGCCACCTGCACAGTGAACCACTGGGCCCCACCTCTGACAAGAAAGGATTTACTTTGTCTTATAAGTATTAGCTCAAAGCTTCAGTGAATTAATAAGAATCACAATGATATAATCATTTTGGTAGAGGTAGTTAGTCCTTGTAGTTCCTAGATCTCACCAGGCACATTCTCACCCCAGGGCCTTTGAACTGTCTGTTCCCGCTCCCCAAAAAATGTTTCCCCACACATCTGCCAGGTTTCTTCCCTCACTTGTCCAATGCCACCAGCTTGGGAAGCCCTTTGGATCACCCCCCCTAAACAGCTCACTCCACCTGCACCCTGTGTCCCTTCAGCCTGCTTTGTTTTCTCCATGTGCTTATCACATGGAAGATGAGATAGCGACACCTACTCCCCAGGGACAGGGGTACAAGGGTGGGAACTGCGCTTTGTTTCCTGCTGTGTCTCGGGCTTCTGGACCAGTGCCCAGCACAAACTAGATCCTTGGTCAATGTGAAGGAATATGTTGGCTTCCACCGTGGCTAGCAGCTGTTCTGCACATTTCCCCTGCATTAAATTGCTGATTGGTGGAAACAGGAGGCTATCTTTTTGCCATTTTATTTYACTGTTTTTCCCATTATTACACACACTTAGAAACACAGAGAAATGAAGATAGCATGGCATAATAAGCTCCTGTAAATTTGATATAATTAATGCAATTCTTGGCCTTTTTTTGACTTTATTTTCTTTTAAAGTATTTTAAAGCAAATCAACATCGAAGTTATTCACCCCTGAATACTTCAATGAGGACCTATAAAAAATAAGAACTATTTTCCCACATAACTGCAAGACATTTTTCTTAGTGGACATATCTACTATTGGGGGCTAAAATGTTTTAAGGTAAATGACCTCATGTCATTTCACWTCCAAATATTTCCGAGCACAACTCAGCCACGAAGGCATTTTTTCGGGTCATCACAATACCATCCACACCCCGGATAAAGCTAATAAAAAAGTGTTACCTAACACTCAGCCACACTCAATCTACCGTGGCCACAAGTTTTATCCTCATTTTACAGAGTGATCGCCCCAGGTCCAGCAGGAAGAGGAAGAGCTGGGATTTGAACCCAGGCGGTTGGATGACGGCGCGGTGACCGCGGTGACTCAGGGCCAAGCCACGTAACTGCCCAGCTCCCCGCCCCTGGGAGGGGAAGTCCTGTGGTTGTGGAGGAGACCCAAGGGGAGGAAGGGGAGGCGCCCACGCATCTGCGGTGACTGAACCTTGAGCGAAACGTCTGGGTGGTGGCGCCCCCAGGGCCACAAAACTGTCTCCTTCCCGGGAGGTGAGACCCAGAGGGGAGGCTCCCGGAGGCCGGCCGAGAACCGAGCATGGGCCGCCTGCCGCTGCCGCTGCTGCCGCTGCTCCTGCTGCCGCTTCAGACCTGCGTTCCAGGTAGGGGCTGGGTGTCCCCGGCCTGCGACACGGCGCTGCCACGGGTCGGGTGGGGATGTGGGAGGACTCTGGTTGGTTGGAGCCGCAGGGCTCAGTTCCCGGCTCTGAAACTGGTAATGATCCTCGTGAACCCTCACGTGGCTCCGGAGCCGGCACTGGGCTCGTGTTCGGGGATACCAGTGGAGCCGGCGGGGCGGGGGGCGCACGCCTGCATCCCAGCGGCTCCCGAGGCTGAGCATGAGGCCACAGGTTCAAAGCCAGCCTCAGCGACTTAGCGACACCCTGTCTCGGAATAAAAAATTTAAAAGGCTGGGAATGGGCTCAGGGTTGAGCGCCCCTGGGTTCAATCCCTGGTACAAAAAATAAATAAATAAATAAATAAATAAATAAATAAATAAATAAATAAATAAATAAAAGAAAAAGAAAAGAGAAAAGAAAAAGATAAAAGAAAAATACTACTTGAAGGAAGATATTTAACAAGGGCGACCGTTTCGCGAGTGCTTTCTTTCAAAGGCACTCTTCTAAGCTCCTTTGCAATTTCAGACTAAGCAGAGGGCACTATCTTAATCCATATCACAGAGGACACTGAGGCACAGAGAGGTTAAGTAACCGGTCTGAGATGGCACAGTCCATTCTTGAGTAAGTGGGATTCTGACACCCTCCTCCCCAGCGGCGCCCCCACGACGCTCTCTACTCTGTTGGATCCAGGGAGGACAGCGTCGCATTTTACAAAAAAAAAAAAAAATCTAAAGAGACTGGAGCCAAGCATCTCAGAGCTAGGTGCTGAGAGACCCCTGGACTCGTCCCTCGAGGACACTTCCCTTTCTATCCCCACTCACGGACACCACGGTCTCACCCGCTTCCCCCGGAAAAATGTAGGGCAATGGGTTTGAGAAATAAGAGGAAATTGGAAATACACTGAGTCAGGTCCAGATGGCGGCGGCGGTGTGCTGGGGGGGTCGGGGGGACGAGGTGCTGCTGCTGCTGCTGCAATGAATAACCTAGAGGGCTCTCGGCACCGCGGGAGGCCGGGAATGAGTAATAACTCAGAAACTCGGGGTGAAGGGGGTGTCTGGGAGGCCCGTGGGCGGGAATAGGGCCCTGGACGAGGAAAGTGGATTAGGAAGTCGGCCGGAGGGCTGGAGGGCAGAGACCCAGGCCCAGAGAGCAACCCTGCGCGCCTAACACCTGGGCAGAGGGTCTGGGGGCGGGACTAGGCAATCGGGGAGGAGCTAGGGGCGGGGAGGAGCTAGGGGTGGGGAGGAGCTAGGGGCGGGGTCTGCAGGACCGAGAGGAGCTAGGGGCGGGGTCTGCAGGACCGAGAAGAGCTAGGGGCGGGGACCAGAGGTTGGGGATCCGAATCCCAAAGACTCACAAGTTCGAAACCAGCCTCGCAACTTACACCAAGGGTGGGGATGTAGCTCAGTGGTAAAACGCCCCTGGGTTCAATCCCCAGAACCGAAAACAAATTCTTTCTCTTTTTTAGAAAGAACCGATGGGCGGAAGGGAAGGTGGGAGAGAGGGTATGGGGGGGGGGTAGAACCCGGGGCGCGGGTGGCGGACGACGATGGTAACAGAAGGGCACCGGGAGGAGGCACAGCCTCTAGGTCGAAATGGCAGGGTGAGGCTCGAGCGCCCTGGCAGAGTTTAGAGACGGAATAAACCGAGGGCACCAGGAGAGGGGAGGGGACCTAAAAGGGAGCAGGGATAGAACGTCCTGGTGGAGAGGCGGGGACAGGGCTTTCAGGATAGATGCTGCTCAGGGCAGAATTAAAGAGAAGGGCTCTGGCGAGACTTTGGGGAAGGATTTGTGGACAGAGAATGTTGGACAGGAATAGATTGGAACCACTGCCAGCCGGAACCCAGCATTGGAACCGACGGGCGGGAAGGATGTGGCACAGAAACCACAGTGGACTGGGCCTGGAGCTGGCCCTGGTTTTGGGGCAAAGGGCGGAGGCGGGGAGGCAGATCCTGTGGCCAAACGTGTAAGCTTCGCTCCTTTCCTTTCCCTCTCTCCCTCCCCCAGCCTCCTGGGGCCTGCGGTGCATGCAGTGTGACAGCATCGGGTGCCACCAGGAAGAGTGCGCCCTTGGCCAGGACCTCTGCCGGACCACAGTCCTGCACGTATGGGGAAGGTGAGATGTCCCCAGGCCCCACTCAAGAGCAACAGGGAATTGCAATTGACCAAGAAAACTTCTCTCACCAGAAATTAGAAAAATGCAAACGAGAGAGGAGAGAGAGAGAGAGAGAGAGAGAGAGAGAGAGAGAGAGAGAGGGAGAGAGAAACAGACAGACACACCCCATTTCACACCTGCCAGACTGGCAGTCATTTAAAATTCTGAATAGTGGCTAGGGTTATAGCTCAGTGACAGAGTGAATTCTTAGCTTGCCGCAGAGCCCTGGCTTCATCCCCAATACCAAAAATAAAGTTGAATATTGACAACATGCAGATTGGTGAAGATGTGAAGACACAGACCCTGTGATAAGGGGTAAATCAGCACCTATGCTGCCCAGAACAATTTGACAATATTTAGTTCGGATGAAGATCAGCATACCCTAGCCAGCAGTTTAACTCTAGGAATGTAGAAACTCCAGGGACCCTTGGTCACAGATGCCCAAGGACACATGTATAGGATGTTCTCAGCAGCAGTGTTCATGCTATGGGAGATTGGAAACAATCTCAAGACAGTCTGCAGCAGAGACACCATGGTATGATCCCATAATGGGATGCTATGCAACAATGAAAGAAAGGAACTAAAGCTTCAGGTGTCTACAGGTAGACCCATCTCAAAAGCATAAGGTTGAGAGGAAAAAATCACGTTGCAGAGCATGATACCCCCTATGAGCTTTACAACATCGAAAACAGGGCTGGAGATACAGCTCAGTGATAGATCACTTGCCTAGTTTTGGTAAAGCTCTGAATTCAATCCCCAGTACTAACAAACAAACAAATGGAAAACACACCAGGTAGAGTGGCACTCGCCTGTAATCCCAGCAACTTGGGAGGCTGAGACAGGAAGATTGCAAGTTCTAGGACAACCTCGGCAACTTTGGGAGACCCTGTCTTGAAATAAAATAAAAAGGACTGGGGGTGTTACCCCTGGCAAAGTGCCCCTGGCTTCAATCCCCAGAACCAAAAGAAAAAAATAGTAATACAACAAAGAAAACAGCAGTACATATTGTTCTGCATACATGGTGTAAGAGCTACTTACACATGGTTGCTTCTGGACTGGACATGAAGGGAGCTAGATTTGGGAAGTGCAAACAGAACATTTTAACTACATCTTTTTTCTTTTGTTTCTATTATTGGGTATTGATCCCAGAGTCTCCCACCTGCTAGACAAGCACTCTACCACTGAGCGACATCCCCAGCCCTTGTTTCCAAAATTTATTTTTTTTTTAAAGAGAGAGAGAGAGAGAGAGAGAGAGAGAGAGAATTGTAATATTTATTTTTCCAGTTTTCTGCGGACACAACATCTTTGTTGGTATGTGGTGCTGAGGATGAAACCCGGGCTGCACCCATGCCAGGCAAGCGCGCTACCGCTGAGCCACATCTCCAGCCCCCTCTTCCATTCCTTTAAAAAATATTTGGGCCAGCTATGGTGGTGCAGCCCTGCAACTCCAGCTAGTTAAGAGGCAAAAGCAGAAAGATCAAAGGTTCCAGGCCAGCCAGGTGTGGTGGTGCACGTCTRTAATCCTGGTGTCTCAGGAGGCTGAGACAGGAGGATCCCAAATCCAAAGCCAGCCTCAGCAATTTAGCAAGACCCTAAGCAACTTGTCTCTAAATAAAATATTAAAAGGGGCTGGGGATGTGGCTCAGTGGCTAAGTGCTCCTGAGTTGAATCCCTRGTACCAAATAAATAAGTAAATAAAATTCCAGGCCATCCTGAGCAACATGGTGAAACTGTCACACAATAAAGTGGAAAGGGCTGGGGGTATAACTCAGTGATGGGGCACTGGTCTAGCATGTGCAAGGCCCTAGGTTCAGTCCCCAGTAACACACACACACAATCACACACGCAAATCTGAAACAAATATAGCAAAATGCTAATATTTTACAAAGGTGTGTGATGAATACCCAGTATTTATTATATCATTCTCCTGTACATTTCCAAAAATTACTATTAGAAGCCAGGCACACTAGCACACTCCTGTGATCCCAGACACTTGAGAGACTAGCAAGTTTGATGCCAGCCTTGGCAACTTAGTGGCTCAAAATAATAATAAAACAAAAAGGCTGGGGATGGAGCTCAGTGCCCCTGGGCTCAATCCTCAGCACCTTAAAAAAAATTATCGCCAGGTGCGGTGGCACATACCTGTAATCCCAGCAGTCGGGGAGGCTGAGGCAGGAGGATTGTGAGTTCAAAGCCAGCCTCAGCAACTTAGCAAGGCTTAGCACCTTATTGAGATCCTGTTTCTAAATAAAATATGTTTTTAAAAGGSCTGAGGATGTGGCTCTGTGGTTAAGCATCCCTGGGTTCATCCTCAGTACTAAAAAAAAAAAAAAATGTCTATTAGAGGCTTCTCCCTGTTGAGATCACCAAGCTGTGGGGGAGGGGGAGGGGGTAGATGGATCCAGAAAATCCCAGTGATAGGGTGTCCATATGAGGGGTGGGGTGGGAGATGACTTTAGGAAACCACAGAGTTGGACGATAAAAAGAGGGAAATCCTGGCAAGGATCAGCCCTGGGAGTAGATGGCCCAGAGACTGGGAGTGTCACAGATTGGTTGGACCCAAGGGAGCCTCAGGGGCACTAAAGATACCTTCCTCACAAGTGAAGAAGAGTTGGAGGTGGTGGAGAGAGGCTGTGCCCACTCAGAGAAAACCAATAGGACCATGAGCTACCGGACCGGCTCACAGATCATCAGCCTTACAGAGACCGTGTGTGGATTCAATTTGTGCAACCAGCCCAAATCTGGTGAGTGTGTGGGGGGGGGCATCTCTCACCACCCCAACACCCAACCAGCCCATCCTCATTACCATCTCAATCCTGTCCCCAATCCTACACCAGCCCAACCTCCACTGCATACCTTACCCCATACCAAACCCAACTCAAACCCATCCAAGCCCAGCCCCAATTTCATTTGATCCCCACACTGTCTACAGCTCCAACCTATCCCCCAATCCACCCTTCCTCATCTCAAACTATCCCCAGTCCTGTTCCCGATTATAAACTCACACCCGGCCCACACATTTGCATGGATGGTTATCCTGTACAAGATGCAACATATTCCCTTAACAGTCTCACACGCATGCTTGAGAGGTAAATGAAGTGTCCTGCTGGTGTATGCTTTTTTTTTAATCTAATTTTTCCTTGGGGACAGGAAATGATCCAAGCAATAGATGCTAAGGGGCCAAGCCACAAGCAGAGACTCAAAATTCTTAAGGAAAGTCAGCAGGCATACGCCTGCAGTCTCAGCTATTTGGGAGACTGAGAGAGGAGGATTGCTTGAGCCGAGGAGTTTGAAAACAGCTTGAGCAACATAGTGAGACCCTATCTCAGAGAGAGAGAGAGAGAGAGAGAGAGAGCATGCACCGGATATGGTGGCACATGCCTGTAATCTCAGTGGCTGAGGAGGCTGAGGCAGGAGGATTGCAAGTTCAAAGCCAGCCTCAGTAACTTAGTGAGGCTTTAAGCAATTTAGCCAGGTCCTGTGTCCAAAGAAAAAGGTTAAGGTCGCTCAGTGGTTAAGTGCCCCTGGATTCAATCCTGTGTACCCAGAGAGAAGGGGAGGGGAGGAGAGGAGAGAATGAGAGGCTGCAGTGAGCTGGGAAAGTCCCCTGGTCCTTGATCTGGACAATTTTTTAAAACGGGGCGGGGGAAGAAACTTCCATAAGCCCTTCCCCTGACTTTCATGGCTTTAGGCTCTGGTCAGTAGAAAAAGACTTAGAAAGAGTCGAATTCTCACAAATTTCCACAGGAGAGGAGAGGGTGAGGAAGGAAGGGACCCATGTTGCATTGTTAGCAGAGATTCCTCTTTCTGGCCCTGGTAAAGAAGGAAGTTGAGAAAGATCAGTGCAGTCACAGTGACATTAGAAAGCACTGGGTCTTCCTTCTTCATCCATCCTGATTCTCCTCCATCTGAACCACAAACTTTTAACTGGTAGCAGGACTGAGCCAGATGATCATTTTAAAGAAAATGTCATCAGGAGTATTTATTTATTTATTTATTTTGGTTCTGGGGATAGAACCCAGGGCTGCTGCTTTACCCCTGAGCTATATCCCCAATCCTTTCTTATTTTATTTTTTTGAGACTGAAGGTCTCGCTGAGGCTGGCCTCAAACTTGCAATCCTCCTGCCTTCRCCTCCAGAGTCACTGAGATTGTAGAAGTGCCCTACGGCGCCTGGCAATTTTTAAGGAAGTGTCAGAATAGAAGACACTGGCTTCCTTTCTCAGGTAGATGTGCTTAAGGAAAGCACTAACACTTGGGTCTAAGGAATGCATCTAATCAGAGACGACAATCAAGATATTTAACAATTGTGGTCAGTGCAGGAACAGATCCCAGGTGGGCCTCTGCTGGGCCTGATGTTTCCCCTCACGCTGGATCCTGGGGACATGAGCATTCTAGGGAGAAAGTTGGGCATGATCAAGGGTCCCCAAGGAGCTTGGGACACCCTCTGTCAATTCAGAAATCTAATAATTTATATGCCTCTACCCCCACTTCTAACGCCATCTTAACTTTCTGTGGTTAGATCACATCCTGTACTTCTGTAATGCTGGGGACACAGAACTGATCAAGACTGGGCCTCGCCTCCGTGGGCCTCGCAGTTCAGTGTGTGGGGTGGGGAGCTAATGGTGTTAGACCCAACCACCAGATGAGTCTGCTGAGACTAATCAGGGCTGGACCTGAGAGGCACAGGCAGAGGGGCCGGGCAGGGGTGAGGAAAGCAGGGTCTGTGGGACCCCGGGGCATGCTTGACTGAGCTCAGAGAAGGGTTTCTAGAGAAAGCAGCAGCTAAACTAGACCCTGATGGCTGAGGAGTGGAAGGTGAGGAGCCCCTGGAGAGGGCTTTCCAGCAGAGGAAGCAACCCATTCAGAGGGCCAGAGGAGGGTGAGGTTGGAGCGGCTGGAGGAAGGAAACGCAGGGGACAAGCTGGTGAACGTGGTCATTTCCCATAGGGCCTCGTGGCCTGTGGTGAGAAACATGGACCTCACCCTGGGAAAGCAGGGGATCACAGATGGAAGCCAGGACCCCACACAGAGGGACTTTCACAATCACATGTATGTTTAGAAACCAGTCATTCTGCCCTCAGGATGGGAGTCAGAGTGGGGGGAAGCAAGAGTGGATGAGGGGCAACCATGTCCGAGGTGGGTGAGGCTGTGCAGAGGAGGAGGGCGGCTGGACAAGGGTGTCAGCTGTGCAGAGGGACAGAGGGACTGGGTCCAAGAGCTCTTTGGCAGATGGGTGCTGCCTTAGTGATGGGGAAATGTGGGAAGGAGACGTGCGATTCTGACCCCGATGGAGTCACTTGTGCGATTCTGACCCCGATGGAGTCACTTGTGCCAGGGTGACGCTTCTGCCCATGACAGCTGTAAACACCGGACAAATGACAGACAATGGTTGGAAGTTGCTGGAGAGCAGCCCGTGGGGGAGACGCTCGAGGCACTAGTCTTGGAAACRAGGGAAGCTCAGAAGTTGAGTTTCAGGGGCAGCCTGGCTTCTCCCCTGAGTGTACTTTGCAATTCGCTGCTGAGAAGGGGAAATGGAGTCCCGCCCAGAGAGAGAGAGTCGCTAGACAGAGAAGACAGGTTGGAGTCTGGAGGTGCCAGAGTGTCTGGAAAAGGAGAGGTAGTACAATCCTGGAATAGATGGGACCACAGAGAAGGGAGTCCCCGAATCTGCAAACATATTTCCCTCAAGCCATTGGCAAGCTGCACGTGCATAGGGTGAGACTTCAAGAAACTCAGCAAAAAATAGCTGGGAAGCCACAGAACCGAGCCAGACTTGCAGCAGGCAGGTGCCAAGCTGAAGAGCCTTTGGAAAGCACCCCAGGTGTTCCCAGGAGTAAGGGCAAAACTGAAATGGACCAGCCCTTAAAAAGCCCCATGCAAGGCCGGGGATGTAGCTCAGTGGTAGAACACCTGCCTAGCATATGTGAAGCCCTGGATTCCAACCCCAGCACTGCAAGAGAAGAGGGGCTGGGGATGTAGCTCGGTTGTAGAGTMCTTACCTGGCATGTGCAAGGTCCCAGAATTAAAAAAAATTTTTAAGTTGTTTTTTTTTTTKGGGGGGGGGCAGGGTGGTGATGGTGAAGATAAATCTGAGCATCTGGAATTCATTTTTTTTTCRGTGCTGGGGATGGAAGCCGGGGCCCCACACATGCTACACAAGTGCTCTACCGCTGAGCTTCAACCCAACTCTTTTTATTTTTTTAAATATGAAGATCTTTATTTTATTCACTTACTTATATGTGGTGCTGAGAATAAAACTCAGTGCACACATGCTAGGCAAGCACTCTACCACTGAGCCGCAGCCTCAGCGCCCCAACTCTTTTTATTTTATTTTGAGAAAAGATTTTGCTAAATTGCCCAGGCTAGTCTTGAGCTTGGGATCCTCCTGCCTCAGCCTCTTGGGAAGCTGGGATTACAGGCATGCCCCATTGTGCCTGGTCAGACTCTATTTCTAAAGAAAGTCAAATAGAAAAGATAAAACAGTGACTGAGCCGGGCACGGTGGCAGACACTTGTAATCCCAGCAGTTTGGGAGTCTGAGGCAGGAGGATCACAAGTTTAAAGCCCGCATCAGCAAATTATGGAGGCTCTAAGCAATTTAGTTAGACCCTGTCTCTAAACAAAATATAAAAAAGGCTGGAGRTGTGGCTCAGTGGTTAAGTGCCCCTGAGTTCAATCCCCGGTAYAACAACAACCTCTTAAAGGTTCTATCACCTCTCCCACCATCACACTGAGGACAAACTTCTGACACAGGAACCTATGGGAACAAATCTTATCCAAACCACAGCAGTGGAGATTCAGGTGGGGACAGCCAGGGGGCACCCGAGAGACAGCTGGGCATGTAGGTCTGGAGCTCAGACTTTTGGAGACAAGTTTGTGAGTGACCAGCAGAGGGACGGAAATGAAGCCATGCTGACAGATAGCTTGGGAGAGAATCTGTGCCGTGAGAAACGAGAGGGCCTAAGACYGAGCCCTGCACAGAGTGGCCTGAGAAGAGGAGTCCTCGAGGAGACCCCTATGTGGGGTGAGACAGCTCTCTTGGCCACGATGGAAATTGGTGTTGTCCCTTTTCACGAAGTTCACGTGAGGAGATGCGGGTGATTGGCCTTTTAGGTATTTTTCTTTGAGGGAGATGAGTTGGCTTTGGATGCCATGATTCACCAAATCTCCGCAGGCCTGCCAGGTGAGGCCCTTGGCTCGCACAGTCCTGTCCCTTCTTTAAGTCTTGGCCCCAACTCAGCTCAGATGTCTTGGGTCTGGAAGGGGAGGGCGTGCCAGGCTGGGCCACAGTATGAGCCAAGGCCTGGGCAGAGGAAGGCCCCAGTGTTTCCAGGGAAAAGTAACTGATCCAGTTGGCTCGGACCAGAAGGTCTGTGTGAAAGGCAAAGCTACCATGAAKCAGTCAAGGGAGACTTTGATCGCTCCGCCAATTAGGTAGTGCACGAGGTGTCTATTGCTGTCTTACAGATTGCCACAAATGTGCAGGTGTTATTTTACAAAGTATCTRGAGGTCAAGCATCCCAGAGTGGCTGAGCAAGGTGGCTCCAATTCAGGGTCTTTCTTGTAGTTCAGACGTCAATTAGGGCTGCAGTCGTCTGAAGACTCTCAGGGTGTCTTTACTCCCAGGCAAGATCTCCTCAGATGGCTTTTGGCAAAGATCTGGGTCCCCACCCACACATGCAGAAGTCTCATGGTACAACATGGCAGCTGGCTTCCACCAAATCAAGTGATCCGAGAGGGAGAACCAGGCAGAAGCTGCAGCCTCCTTTATGGTTTAGACACAGGAGTCACATGCCCTCGTGGTGGAATGAGGAGGAACTGATGTGGAGGTACGGCCTCCATTGTCTCACCCACTTGTCCCTCTTCCACTTAGTTCGGTCACGCAACTCCCCCTTTGGCCGTTACCTTGARTGTGTCTCCTGCACCTCATCCGACATGAGCTGCGAGAGGGGCCGGGAGCAGAGCCTGCAATGCCGCTACCCTGGAGAGCAGTGTGTGGAGGTGGTGACCCACCGGAGCCTGGAAGGTGAGCCCCCACCTGCCGGCAACCTCTCCTTTCTGCTCTRCTTCTCCCCAAGCTGCACTTAGCAGAGATCCCAACATAACAGACATTTGAGCAAATGATCTAATTTTCTCTCACTCACCAAGTCCAGGGCCATTAGGATAGCTCCAGAGTCACCAGCAACCTAGAGAGTCTCCTCATTTCTTACGTAGCGCTTTCATTCTCAAGACTGCCTCATAGTCTGATATGGCTGCCAGAACGCCAGGCCTCATGTTCAAGTTCCAGGAAGTAAGAAGGGGCCAAAAAGAAGGACTCCTCATTTTGTAAGAGTTTTCCTTCTTCCATAAAGTACTTCCATTTATATCGTATTAGCCAGAACTTGAGCACGTGACCGTGAGACCCAGAGAGGCTGGAAAATGTAGTCTTTTGGCAAACTCTAGGGCTACCCAAAATAAAATGGCAAAGGGATAAAGGGAGAAGCAGAGAATGGTCAAATACGTACTGCAATGGGCAACCCAGTCTCGGCTCCTCATCCATGATCTGACCTCTGACCTCTCTCTTTGACTCCACAGGAAACACAAGGGATGAGCAACACTCCCGGGGCTGTGGGTACCTTCCTGGCTGCCCAGGTCCCACTGGCTTTCACAACAACTACACTTTCCACTTCCTGCAGTGCTGTAACACCAGCAAATGCAACAGGGGCCCAGGTAAGGGGCATGGGAACTGGCATGAGGCCTGGGACTGGGACAGGGAGGCTCACCCAGGCAGACTCTCCTGGCCAACTGCCAGTTACCCACTCTTGGACAGACCGCTCCTCTCCGACTGTCCATGTCCTCTCTGAAAAATGGGCCTAGCAAGCCAGGCGGTAGCACAAGATCCATGATCCCAAAGACTTGAGAGGCTGAGGCAGGAGGATCCCAAGTTCAAAGCCAGCCTCAGCGACTTAGCAAGGCCCTAAGCAACTCGGTGAGACCCTGTCTCTAAATAAAGTACAAAAAAGGGCTGGGGATGTGGCTCAATGATTGAGCACCCCAGGTTCAATTCCCAGTACCAAAAAAGTGGGGGGAGGGGGCYTCATAAGCCTTTCATCAACGAATTTCATCAGAATTCAGTGAGACCATCCATCCCTCAAGAAGGCTCATGCTTCCTGCCTCTGCCTCTCTGGACTCTTTACACCACTCATTGCCTCCGCTGCCGCCACCCTGGGCCCAGCCTCTGTGACTTCCTCTTCACAAGTCTTCCTGTCTCCACCCCTGCCACCCAAGCTCAACACCGCAGCAAGAGTGACTTTTAAATGTGAATCTGGTCATGCCACGCTCCTTCCTCGAGCACTTCAATGACTTCCTCTTCCTCTTAGAATCAAACCCAAAGGCCCTGCTGTGATCTGCATAACCCTGCACCTGTTTGCATGGTGATCTTCATTTACTTTCTACAAACTGCCACGGCTTTTGTAATGAGGCCACCCTCCACCTGGAACAGGTCTCCCCGGGAACTCTCCTGGCTGGCTGCTTCTCATCCATGAAATCTCAGCTTTCACATGCATCCTCAGGGCGACTTCCACCAGCCATCTTCCCCATTACAATGCAGATCTCTCCCATTCTTCTGTCCAACAGAGCTTTTCAKGGTTACAGAAATGTCTATTTCAGTGCTGTCCAATATGGTAGCCCTTACTGTATGTGGCTATGGAGTACCTGAAATGTGACCTGAAGTTTTAAATTATACTTAACACCAATTAATTTAAATTTAAGTGACCACATGTGGCCAGTAGCTTCTGTATCAGACAGTGTCGCTCTAAATGGTAAGTTCAAGAGGGCAGAGACTGTTTTGTCTCACACAGTTGCTTATCCAGGGTCAGGCATGGTACCTGGTCAGAAGTGGGGCTCAGGGGGAGCTGACCATTGGGTTTCTGCCGTAGGCTGAGAATCCACCCCTAAAAGAAGGTGCAGTTCAAACTCCGGACCAYAATGTGGCTCTACGATGTCTGGGGGTGGGGGGACTTGGGCATTCTGGAGAGGAAACTTGTGGAGGGATCCGCTTGCTCATTCCTTGGTCTCTTGTGTCTCTTGTCTTCTTAGTCCTGGAACTTCAAAATCTGCCACCAAATGGAATCCAGTGTTATAGCTGTGAGGGCAACAGCACCCATGGATGTTCCGCCACCGAGACTTCCCTTATCGACTGCCGTGGCCCCATGGATCACTGTCTGGAAGCCATGGGCACTAATGGTGAGGCCCTCTGGAAAGCTGGGAGGGGACCCTTCCTGGGGGTGAGAAGGATCTGAAGGAGGATGGCTTCCGGTTGAACTTAACCAAGGGCGATCTTCCTAYGGAAAAGGCGGGACTTCCTTCAGGAGGGTCCAATTGTAGTAAGGAGTTAGGACTGGTCCGTTAGGAAATGGACCCTCCTGCCATGGAGGTGTGGACTTCTTTAGGGGTGGGACTTCCTGTGGGTGTGTGGGACTTCCGGTGGACATCTGACATCCTGAGAAGGTGTTCTATTCCAATGGATAACATTTGAAGACAAAACTTTTTTTGTATCAATACTGAACCCACTGAGCCACATCCCCAGCTCTTTTTATTTTTTTATTTTGAGACAAGATAAGTGGCAYAGGGCCTTGCTAAGTTGCTGTGGCTGGCTTTGAACTCGAGATTCTCCTGCCTCAGCCTCCTGAGCCCCTGGGATGACAGGAGGGTGCCACCATGCCAGGCAGAAACATTTTGGCTTCAAAACTCCTTCACCTCTCAAAAATTGTTTATGACAGTTATATCTGTAGATGTGTACTAACTAGAAATCAAAACAAAAACTAAAGGTTTATTAATAAATTTATAACATGATTTATATTTACTTAATAACAGAAAAACTCTATATTATACATTAACATAAGTAATATTTTTTTAAAATGAAAAATGACTATGTTTTCCAAAACAAAAAAATGAAAGCTGRGCACAGTGACACACACCTGAAATCCCAGTGACTCTGGAGACTGAGGCAGGAGGATCTCAAGTTCAARGCCAATCTCATCAACTTAGTAAAACTTTGTCTTAAAATAAAAAATAAAAAGGTCTGGGGATGTAGCTCAGTGTTAGAGGACCTCGGGGCTCAATCCCAGTATTAAAAAAAAAAAAGTATTAAAAAAAAAACAAGTAATGGGAAGACTGGCATTGTTTTACTGTCTCTTTAAAGTCTGGCTTAATAGAAGACAGCTGTATTCTCATTTCTGCTTCTACATCAGTTTCTCACAATATCACATGTCCTGGAGTTTCTGGAAAACTCCACTGTGTACTTGAGATTGAAAAAGCCCAATTTAGCATTATTTTGAGAATAATTTTGACTTCACAGAGTCCTGGATTGGTTCCAAGGAACCACCAGGAGTCCCTGGACCACACTTTGAGAATCACTGCTTTGCCCAGGTGGCAGAGGACATGGCCCCCACTGCAAGGTGGTACATGACCCATCTGAGAATTCCAGGCCCAGGCCCGAGAGCTGGGAGTCTCACTCGGTCTTCTCTTTCCTCAGGGCTGGAGAGCCAGAGCTACACCATAAGAGGCTGTGCGACTGCCTCCTGGTGCCATGGCTCCCACGTGGCGGACACCTTCAGCCTGACCCGTCTCAATGTCTCGTGCTGTTCTAAAAGTGGCTGTAACCACCCGGTCCAGGATGGCCAGTACCGCAGAAGTGCTGCCCCCGGCCAGCCTGGCCCTGCGCACCTCAGCCTCACCATCACTCTGCTTGCAACCATAAGGCTATGGGGAGGCGTTCTGCTCTGGACCTGAACCCCAAGCCCCCACCCTGGCTGGACCCGGGGTAGCACTCTACCCTTACCTCAGCTCCCGTCCCGGCAGACTTGGGTGCCAGTGTGCGGTCCTCTCTGGGACTCAGCTTTCCCAGCTCCGAAGACCTAGCTCACTCAGTTTTCCTGAGAACCAGGGAAAGAAGTTGGGGGAAACTATAGGTCAGTGCGGGACACTCTTGGTGTTATTAATATATTTGTCATTGTTATTGTGTTATTATCCATTAATATTCATATTATTTATTTTATATGTAAATAAATTTTTTTAATAGTGAACCAAGCCAGGTCTGCTCTTCTCTTTAAGATTCATCTTTGGGAGGATGAATGCTGGGTTCGTGGGGCGGGGGGGACAGGGTCTGCCGGCTCCTGAAATTAGAGGTCAGGTTGTGGACAAGCAGCCCCACAGACACAATATGGAGAAGAGCCAGGAACCCTAGCTGTGTTGTTTCCCAGAGCTGCTGTAACCCATTGCTACATACTCACAAAGTTGGTGGCTTAAAATGACAGAAACTTACCCTCTCACAGTTCCAATGCTAGCAATACAAAACCAAGGTATTGGCAGAGCCATGCTCCCCCAAAGTATTTATTTATTTATTTATTTATTTTTTTTTTGTGGTGCTGGGGTTTGAACCCAGGGTCTTGTGCATGCCAGGCAAGCACTCTACCAACTGAGCTATATCCCCAGCCCTCCCCCAAAGTATTTAAATCCAAGGACACTTCACCACTGAGATAAATCCTCAGCCCTTTTTTATTTTATTTTATTTTAAATATTTTTTAGACATTGATGGACCTGTATTTTATTCATTTATTTATCTGTGGTACTGAGAATCGAACCTAGTGCCTCACACATGCCAGGCAAGCACTCTACCACTGAGCCACAACCCCAGCCCTATTTTATTATTTACATTTGAAACAGGGTCTTGTTCAATTGCCAAGGCTGGCCTTGAACTTGTGATCCTCCTGCTTCAGCCTCTGGAATAGTGAGGATTATAGGCATGCATCACTGTGCCCATTCTCTCTTTAATAGAACAACCATCATTGGATTTAGGACYCAACCTAGTCCAATATCGATTAATTTAATCATTACCTTAGTCATATTGGCAAAGACTATTTCCAAACAAAGTCATACATAGTTACACCGGTTAGGACCTCAGTATATATTTGGGGGCGTGGCCCAATTCAACATCCACAGCACCAACCAACAGCTAAAACCAAGGCCTCAAATACAAGACCCCAGAGGAACATCCCAGCCATCTCCAACTATTTAAGCYGGAACTTTTGGCTCCCAGCCACTGTGAAGCAGACACACACCAATCCTGCCCAAATTCCTGACCCACAGAATCATAGAATAGAAAGGTTGTAATTTATACCACTACGTTTTGGTGGGTTTTGGTGAGATAGCAATGGCTGAGACAGTCATATTTAAAACTGTCACCATGGACAAAGACGTTTATTTACTCACTACTGTATTTCTAGTGCCCAGAATATATTTGGAACATCACAGATGAAGAAGAAGGAAAAGAAGGAGAAACTACATCTTTGATGATGTCTTCCAACAAAAACTGAGCCAGGATTTCATTTCTCATGATGCTGGTGTTAGTCAGCTTTGGTCACTGTGACTCAAATACCCAAAAAAACAATTTAGAGAAGGAAAAGTATATATATATATATATACACACACACATTTTCAGTATTTTTTAAAATTGTAGATGGACACAATACCTTTATTTTATTTATTTATTTTTATGTGGTGCTGAGGATGGAACGAAGTGCCTCACATGGGATAGGCAAGTGCTCTACCACTGAGCTACAGCCCCAGCCCAGAAAAAAAGATATTTTGGCTCATGGTTTCAGAGATTAAGTCCATGGTCAGCCAACTCCATTGCTCTAGGACTGAGGGGGGACAGAACATCATGGAAGGAGGGGGTATGGCATAGGAAAGCTGTCAAGTCATGGCAACCAGGAAGCAGAGAGAGAAAGAGAGAGGAGGAGGAGGTGCCAGGACAAAATATAAATCCCAAAGGCACACCCCAGTGACCTACTTCCACCAGCCACACCCTACCTGCCTRCAGTTAACCAGTACGGTAGTATCTTCAAAACATTAATCCATCAAATGCATGAGTCCACTGATTAGGTCACAGCTTCCATAGCAAATCCTTTCACTTCTGATCATTGCTACATTGTCTCCTGAGGTTTGGGGAACACCTYATAGTCAAGCCATAACAATGCTCTACAGCAGAGAGAGAGGATGACGTTTCCAGAGATGCTCCATATCTAAAACTGAAGATAATTTCATCTTCCCCATGATATCCTACAACAGATATTGAAGCTAGGAATACATCTCTCATGAGCTTTCAGAGAGGCTCAGAGGATAAAAATGCATGTCCCATGATGCCCTCTAACAGACATGGAGGGAAAGGTCAACATTCTCCTAAGTCCTATACCATATTTCTGTGATCAAGACCTTGTTGTAGCCGGGTGTGATGGTGCATGCCCACCTGTGATCCAAGCTTCTTGGAAGGTTGAAGATTGATCAAAAGTTCAAGGCCAGCCTGGGCAACTTAGTGAGACCCTGTCTCAAAAGAAAATCTTTAAAAAGAGAGCTGGGGATGTAGCTCAGTAATAGAGCAATTGTCTGTCATGCACAAGGCCCTGGGTTTGAGCTCTAGTACTGGGAGGGGGAAGAATAGCCCTCATTGTTACTGGCCTCTGAGTTTTTGTTCAAGGATCTTTGGTTGCAAGAAATAAAATGTGTTTATGCTGATTTAAGCAAAAATGACATTATCAGAAGTTTAAAAGCCATGTAAGACCTAGGTCTCCTGGCCTTATCCAGGACAGGAAACAGAACTGAAAGGTTATGTAAGATCAAAATTGTCTCCCTCTTTCAGAATCAATCTCTCTCCTCTCCCCACATCTCCACCCCTTTCCTTYATTATCTCCTGGGCTTCCATTTACTTTTCTGTCTCTACAGACTACTTCTTCTACTTCATGCGTACTAGACAAATATGCCCACTGACATGTTAAGTACYGAGAACTACTTGAGTCTTGATTTTGAAATTTTAGCTGAGAGACTAACTGGGTCCAGTTTGGTTCATGGCTCAGCCCATGACCCCCTCTGCTAGGGCTAGGGAAGTTCACATCAAAGCCATCCTATGCAGTTGTTCAGGTCAAACACAAGCATCCATTGCTCCTGTCATTCTCATGGTATGCAACCTGGTCAACCAAAGCTAGAAAACAGAACCTGTAAGAGAGATTCTACCACAAGATGGGCCAATGAGACACAATGAAAGTTGGCCAGGGGCTTTTAGAGGACAAAAAGTTTTCAGGGCTTTAGGAGGTTTTAGGCAGGGATATGATGTTCCCCACTGTGCTGAGGGGATTGTTGCTATTTTTTGTTTGTTTGTTTGTTTGTTTGTTTTTTAAGAGAGAGTGGGAGAGAGAGAGAGACAGAGAGAGAGAGAATTTTTAATATTTATTTTTTAGTTCTCGGTGGACACAACATCTTTGTTGGTATGTGGTGCTGAGGATYGAACSCRGGCCGCACGCATGCCAGGCGAGCATGCTACCACTTGAGCCACATCCCCAGCCCCTGTTTGTTTGTTTTGATACTGGGGTTTGTACCTGGGGATGCTTTACCATAGAGCTACATCCCTAGCTCTTTTCTTTCTAATCTTTGGGACATGTCTCAGTTAGTTCCTTAGGGCCTCGCTAAGTTGCTGAGGCTGGATTTGAATTCTCCTGCCTCAGCCTCCTGAGTCACCATGAAAGGCTGCTGAGGGAGTTTCTTACAGAGAGAGAGAAAGGAGGAGGTGCCAAGGACAAAATATAAATCCCAAAGATACGCCCCCAGTGTTTTCTTCTCTCCCCCTGATTCTTCCCCTTTTATCTCCCTATGTCTAGCTCTTCCCATTTATTTATCTGTCTTTATCTCTTCCCTCTCCCTGTGAATCTGGCCTCAGGGGTGCTTGCTAGTCATAGTGCAATTTGAGGAGAGTCATCCATCCTCAGGACAGAGAGAGGTCCAGATCATGGGGAAGCCAGTCATACCTGGGACTGTTTGTCAAAGTCCTAACGAACAGAGTTATCCTGAAGTAGGGTGGGGACAAGACTACCACTCTCCTGGTGTCTGCAGATGGGAGAAATGATGGGACTCAAAGATGACAGGTAAGAAAGAACCAAACCAATATCTCCCAGGATGCCCCATAGCTGCATCAAAAGGTGTCTGTAAGAGCCTTGAGCAAGGTGCCTATTGGTTCTTCTGAGAAAAGGCAACTTTTAGCCATCCCCTTACAATGGTTTGGATATAGCTTGAGCATCTCCCAAGGCTTCCTCTATTGAAATTTAATCTGCATCGAAAGATATTAAAAGAGTGGCAATTTAGCCCAACTAATTTAAAGGTGGTGACTTTGGGGTGATTAGGATTAGATAAAATCCTCAGGGTGGAGCCCCCATGACTGAATCCTGCTGGCTTTATAAGAAGAAGGGGAGAAACCAGAAGAGACTTGTGCACTCCTGGTCTCTTGCTAGGAGATGCCCTGTGCCACCTGGGGACTCTGCCAGCAAGAGCCATCACCAGATGCGGTCCCTTGACCTTGCCAAAATAAACCTCCTCTCTTTATAACTCACCSGGTCTGTGGCATTGTGTTGTTTGCAACAGAAAGTCAACTAGTGTACCCCTGATCCAGTGTCCCAAATGCATTTCAAACACTTCTCTCCCACCTAGTCCAAGTCACAGAATATGAGCCCTGAAAGAAGGGTTAGAGATTACTCAGCGTGAGGACCTCTTCCCCAGTCCACAGTAGTAAACAGGGAGCTGAAAAATCGCTGTGGTCCTAAGGACGGAGAGGATGCCCAGAGCTGGACACTGGACAGAAAGAGTATTGGAAGCTAATTCTGGTGGGCCTGGATGTAGAGTTTTTAAGTAATGATGGAGATAAAGAGCAAGAATTTTCAGAATTGGCATATCTCGACCTCAGTTTACCAGATTATCAGTCGGGCATGCCAGAGGTTAAGAACTCCTATTTTCCATAGTTTCTCACTCTCCCTGAGCCCTATAAGTGACAATCTGCACCAGGTCATCAGGTTACCACGGAAGTGTGTTCAGGGAAACCCACTCCCAGGAGAAGAAGAGACTGAAATCTGCAGAGAGGAGTCGATCTCAAGGAT